AAAAATTGTTTTTTATTTATCAGATTTTTCAAACAAAATGGCGTCCACAATGTAAAAATCATTCGGATCTGCTTCGGCTATTATCTATAATAACTTCGGAAACAATACGGATTGAAAGTAGTTCTACAACGTGGTTTCAGATGTAAACAGAAACAGAGATAATGTAAAACGAATGTATATATTTGACATCTAATGTCTGTTCTGGTACTATTATGCTGAAAATATGTCTGACAACAATTTGTAACTTAAATATGCCTACTGGTATTCAATTTTAAACAAATCCGACTAAATGTCAACAGGTTGGTTTTTTTGTACTTTCGGTTTCTACAACCATAATAATAAATATATTTATGAACCGCCACGCGAGGAATAACAAACTATCAAATTGTGTTTAATGGCCATACCATACTATAAGGTATGGCCTCTGTTTATTGTTTTAACCAACAATACTTAAACATGTGCAAAGAATAGTACATACATCAATATTATGCAAATTAATACAATATAGAAAATACACATGCAGGAATAATAATTAATCGAGTTCTACTATAATAGTAAGAAATGTGAGGGTTTCGTAAGAAAAACGCACTGAAACATGTGCAAAGAATAGGACATACATTAATATTATGCAAATTAATACAATATAGAAAATACACATGTAGAATTAATAATAAATCGAATTCTACTATAACAGTAATAAATGCGAAGGGTTCATAAGAAAATCACCCCCTAACATAATCATTAACATTACAAGTGTTACAGAAAGTATTGCATGTATAAAAAAGTAAATACTGCCTATCTTTCTAACAATCACTGAAATATGTGGGTTACACTGAGACCCTTAAAATTTTGTTGTGGTGAAGGGGGTGGAGGAGGGTAAAATTTTTGCTTCCTCTTTCTACGCTTCTTAGTAATTGGCCTCCGCGCCGAAGCGCGGCGCCTTTTATGGAATGAAATCAGATTTTGTGAAAGGGCGACAGCAACTTCTCGAGCCTTTTAGTCGGACATAATAAAAGCCGATCATTCCGATCGGTATGAGGGTGCTTGATTATTAATTAAAAATGAAATGTCGCGATATATACAATGAATAGCGAAGTGGAGAATTTCGCCAAATGAAATAACCTTTTCCGTCAATAAATCGCGCTCTTCGGGGTATTTTTATTTATCATTTTGTAGTACACAGTGGGTTATTATGGTATGTTATTGTTGTACATGTATAGAATGATGAGTTGATGACCTAAATATTCCGAAAATCTATTTATAGAGGGATGTACTCCTATCGGTAATTCCCGGTCTCTCCTGGTCTATTTTGACCGGGATTTACTAGTGACCGGCGAATAGTACAACACGTTTATTGTCCAGTCTCTCCCGGTTTTGGAGTAGATGTTTGATATCGTTACAGAACAGAACAAATATTTTACAGATAAATAAGCTTTTTTCAAAATGAATGTTTGTCACTTAGTTTGGTTACAATAATTAATAAACACAGATCAACTCTCAAATTTATTGATTATTATTATACATAAACATACAATTCGAAAAAAAAACCCAACAATAACAAAAGCATGTTTTTTTATCTATATGAGATAAAAACAATAAATATGTACAATAATTTAGAAAAAAGGTACATTTTTATGGTATTAATATGACACTATCAACTTTGAAACATTTTATTTTATTTTATTTTTTATTCGTGTTTAGTAAAGATGCCGAGGAATTATTCAAAGTTACCAATTAGATTTTATGAATTATTCAATTGATTGATAATTTAAAAAATGATAAAGAAAAATACAAATGTACATGTATATGTTAAGAATAAACAATATTATATACTGAAAGATTAACCATAATTTACTGACTTTTTCCAGTTAAGTTTTGTCAATATGACAATTGAATTCTTAAAATAGTAGTAAACGTAAAAACTCAGTATTAAAATAGCACATAAAACACAAAAAAAGAAAAGAAACCAATATTCATAAAATCTGTATTATTTTTTTTAAAATGGATATTACAATTATTGTATAATAAACAATTATGCTCAACATGATCAACATGGTAATATAATCAGTGTCATATTGTTAGTAAGTGTGAACAGATACCTTTAGAGGGGGTCTTCGCTAATAGCGATAACATAATAAGGGACAATTACACATGCGTTACACATATGGATTATAAATGATTGTATACATGTATATCCGTTGCTATTAATAACCACGATCATAAAGAAATAACAAGTAATATTCTATATAATCTCTAGCATGCCAATCAAAGTTTGTAATGAACAATGTCTTTCGTCCGTTCATTCATAAGTGATATACAATTCTTGTAAAAATCTACAAGAATTTGTAACAGAGTTACCAACGTCCCCCGCCCCGGGAGTTTTATATGAAGCATAAAATTGTGCTATTTCAAAAAATTGAGGTATGGATCTCAGGACAATCAGTCCAAAATTATGATCAATGCTAGATCTGCAAATGTAACAATAAATTTGTTAAAAAAATAAAATGAAACACGGAATTTAAAAATCTATCATGTTAAGCTTTGACCTCTAAGTGTGACCTTGACCTTGGAGGTAGGGGAGCAGGTGTTGTGCATGACATAACGTCTTATTATTGAGACTATTTGTGCCAAGTATTTTCAAAATACCTTGAACTATGAGAAGAAGTTATAGATTGGACACAAAATATACCCTATAACAGACTACGTAAATCTTTGACCTCTTAGTGTGACCTTGACCTTGGAGGTAGGGACACAGATGGTACGCATGACGTATCATCTAATCATTGTGACTATTTGTGCCAAGTACTTTCAAAATCCCTTAATCTATGAAGAAGTAATGGATGGGACAAAAAATATACCAAATAACAGACTCTCTTAACCTTTGACCTCTAAGTGTGACCTTGACCTTAAGAGGTAGGGGTGCAGGTGTTGTACCTGACATATCGGCTTATTATTGTGACTATTTGTGCCAAGTTATTCCAAAATCCCTTGAACTATGAAGAAGTTCTAGATTCGACACAAAATATACCCTATAACAGACTATGTTAATTTTTGACCTCTAAGTGTGACCTTGACCTTGGAGGTAGGGATGCAGGTGTTGCTCATGACACATCCTCTTATTATAGTGACTATTTGTGCGAAGTATTTTCAAAATCCTTTGATCTATGAAAAAGTTATAGACCTGACACAAAATATACCCTGTAACAGACTATGTAAGTATTTGACCTCCAAGTGTGACCTTGACTTTGGAGGTAGGTGACTGGTTTTTGCGCATGACACATCATCTGATTATTGTGAACAATTATGGCAAGTATTTACAAAAGTCCTTCATAGATAAGAAAGTTGTGGACCGGACACGACATATACCCTCAAATAGACAATGTTAACCTTGAATGAGCAAGTACGACCTTGACCCTGAAGGTACGGGTCTGGTTGTTGCGCATGACACATCGTCTTATTATAATAAACATTTGTGCCAAGTAATTTCAAATTCCTTTGATAAATGACAAAGTTATGGACCGGACACGAAATATACCCTGTAACAGACTATGTTAATATTTGACCTCCAAGTGTGACCTTGACCTTGAAGGTAGGTGACTGGTTTTTGCGCATGACACATCATCTGATTATTGTGAACAATTATGGCAAGTATTTACAAAAGTCCTTCATAGATAAGAAAGTTGTGGACCGGACACGACATATACCCTCAAATAGACAATGTTAACCTTGAATGAGCAAGTACGACCTTGACCCTGAAGGTACGGGTCTGGTTGTTGCGCATGACACATCGTCTTATTATAACAAACATTTGTGCCAAGTTATTTCAAATTCCTTTGATAAATGACAAAGTTATGGACCGGACACGAAATATACCCTGTAACAGACTATGTTAATATTTGACCTCCAAGTGTGACCTTGACCTTGAAGGTAGGTGACTGGTTTTTGCGCATGACACATTGTCTGATTATTGTGAACAATTATGGCAAGTATTTACAAAATCCCTTCATAGATAAGAAAGTTATGGACCGGACACGACATATACCCTCAAATAGACAATGTTGACCTTGAATGAGCAAGTGCGACCTTGACCCTGGAGGTAGGGGTCTGGTTGTTGCGCATGACACATCGTCTTATTATAATAAACATTTGTGCCAAGTTATTTCAAATTCCTTTGATAAATGACAAAGTTATGGACCGGACACGAAATATACCCTGTAACAGACTATGTTAATATTTGACCTCCAAGTGTGACCTTGACCTTGAAGGTAGGTGACTGGTTTTTGCGCATGACACATTGTCTGATTATTGTGAACAATTATGGCAAGTATTTACAAAATCCCTTCATAGATAAGAAAGTTATGGACCGGACACGACATATACCCTCAAATAGACAATGTTGACCTTGAATGAGCAAGTGCGACCTTGACCCTGGAGGTAGGGGTCTGGTTGTTGCGCATGACACATCGTCTTATTATAATAAACATTTGTGCCAAGTTATTTCAAATTCCTTTGATAAATGACAAAGTTATGGACCGGACACGAAAGTGTGACGGACGGACGGACGGACAGACGGACGGAGCCTATTTCTATATCCCCCTTTTTTCTTCGAAAAGGCGGGGGACAATTAACCATTGAAAAGTTTATAAGAATATCTTGTCATCATATATCAACTAGTTCATCTTCACCTGCTGCATTTCTTGCTTGGACGCCCTTTGATGCTTTGCATCAATGCTTTTCTTGTTGCTAACTGGTTCAAGACGATTTTATGTAAGGCTATTATCCGTTCAGCCGTCTCTACGAACGGCTAAAACCCGTACCTCCCGTGGCGGCGCATAAAGTTCGCTGATGCTTTTCGGCATAGCTTATATTTATGAACCGCCACGCGAGGAATAACAAACTATCAAATTGTGTTTAATGGCCATACCATACTATAAGGTATGGCCTCTGTTTATTGTTTTAACCAACAATACTTAAACATGTGTAACCATACCGACTTTGGACGGATTTTAGCTATACCGGAAGTTCTAAACAGGAAGTTGAGAATAATCATTATTTGGATTGTTTCTTGTTTGTTCATTACGTTTCACTGTGTTCAGTTGTTTATCCCAGAAGCTTTGCTTTCATTGGTCGAAAATAGTTTGTGTATTGTTGTACATGATTGTTTTTTACTGTTGAGCGGGAGTTCTGAGATACCTCAGTTTGGTCACGGTTGTTCTGAGGGTGAACATCATTGATAATGGTATAGCTGGTTGTTTCTTCGTATTGTGGATCTCCATGGAACTCTGATAGTTTGTAACTTTTGGTTTTATTCTATTTTTTATATTTGCTTAGTTGAACTGTGCATTAATTACTCTTTATTTGCCATTTTGATAAATTATTTGTTTCAATAATTTATTGTAAATTTTGATATTTACTTATGTGGAGTTTTGTAAAATTAGAATGGCGACATTGGGTAATATTCATTAACTCATTATTTAATTAACTTGAAATAATATGCACATTATTTCTGTCTGTACACTTTATTGATATTTTAACTTTGCAGCAATCTAGACTAATATCACATGTGTGAAAGGAGGTTTGTTGTAATGTGAGGGAAACAGTCAATACCATATATTGGTAAGTTTATATTCTATTGTATTGATTTATGTTTGTCATAAGATGGTCATTATTCTAAGATGTCGTTGAATTGCTGTCATGTGAATTTATTGCATATATCTGAATGCAGGAATTAGACTGAAATGCTGTATAAAATGCATTGTAATGTAATTCACTTGTTTGAATCTTTTTCTTATTAATATTATATGTTTTAGGTTGTCATTACATTACTACCGATGTATCTAAAGTTTGATTAAATGGAGATGAACCTACACGAACTTGGTTTTCTTTGTCACATGTAAAACAAGGTCCAAGTTTACATTGGCGCCCAACGGGGGACCCACAATTCATCTGAAGAGGTAGCTGACATGGTAACAAGCTTGTACACGTAGATGTAAGACATAAACATTATTTAGACTCAAGAATCCAGAGGATCTCAAAGGTATTTCTACAGACTTTTACGTTATCCCGAGGAGCAGC